AATGTATGTACAACTAAATAATTTTTTTTTTAAAATTTTTATTTAAAATTTATTTTATGATATTTATTTAATATAATAATTAATATTATTTATTATAAAAAATTAATTATTAATTTTAAAATATGATAATAATTCTACCTTCTAAGTAGAGAAAAAAATATTAAATTAAACAAATTAGGAGTAAGACTAAATTGATAAAATATGTAAATATTGAAGATTAAATATGTAATTATACTAATTTTATTAACTTATTCATCAATATTTTCGTTAAATATTGATAATAAATGATTAGATTGATAACATTTAAATAATTAAGTGATAAAATTAATAGATCGATAATCAAAATAAAAAATTAATAGATATATAATTATACGTGTAATATTATAATTTCATACATTTTCCTATAACTACAATAAGATCAAAGTTGGTTTTCATCTATTGTTCTATCGTATTAATGTTGTGTGGAATGGGTGAATGCCAAAGTCTCTTAAACATATAACACTAAAACTTAAATTCACTCAACATTTAACACACATTTAAATAATACATTCGATAATTCTTAAATTATAATCGAAACACTTTACATAATATATTAATAATTTATAATAACAATAAAAATAAAATCTTTATTATTTAAAAAATACCAGCATGACATCCGACTCAGCAGAACCCATATAAAGCGCATACCTGGCGATGCGCCTTACACGCGTGGCATCTTAGTCAGCATAAACCCGGGTAAAGCGTGTCCCCGGAGATGCGACTTTGTGTCACTTCAGCCGAATGGGTGCTACTTTGGGAAATATTGGTCAAAGGATGTTAGAGAGGGAATATTACGGCGAAAAGGTGTCAGTTTAATCAAATCGCCAAAGATATATGGGGCAGCGCCTGTAGTAGTCGGGGGTGAGTAATGAGTTTATCGGTTCGTGAACGTTTTGAATTAATTCCATAAAAATTTGATTTGAATCAATTTAAACTCGAGTCAATTCAAAATTTTAATGAGTTAAGTAGAATAGAGTTTAACTTGACTTCGTAAGTTGACGAACAGTTTATTAATTTTTGAATATAATTTTATTATACTAAAAATTAAATATTATTTTATTATTTTAATGTATTTAAGGATTGTTACTTTAAAATTATTTTTATATTTTTTCTTAAATTTATTAATTTATGATTATATTAAGCTTTATATAATATTAAAATATTTTACTTATAATTAATAAAATCAAGTAAAAATTTTGATGAAATTAACAAGCAACGAGCATCGAATTTAATGAGCAACAAAATTAACGAGTAACGAGTTTAACAAGCAACAAGATCAACGAGTAACGTGTTTAATGAACAATAAGTTTTTTAAATTTATCGAGTAGAACAAAAATTTAATGTATTTAATGAGTAACAAGTCGAGCGATTTTTTTTTTAAAATAAGTATGATTCGAATTACATTTTAACGAATTTAACGAATAACGAGTCAAACAATAAATTTTTTTAATGAATATAAACAGAACACTGTTTAATTCGCGATCTGCTGGATGAACTCGTTCGATCAACACCCTAGTAGCAGCATGTGAGATTACTATTGTGGTGTGTGGATTTCTGGGGTTTTCCACTGCCTGCAACCGCATGCTGGCGTCTGTTGCTACTGCCCTACTGCCTGTACCATCATCTCTTCACCTCCACAACTACACCAGGTAAGTACTGTTATTTTTGTTCCATGCAATTAGATGTACGGTGAATCCTTGAAAAAACAGATTCAATGGAAATGTTTCTGTGTCCAAGTAAAAGATCTTTTTACTACTTCTGGACCCTTTTTTTTTTGTTTCTTTTCTGTTCTTCACGTGATTACTGCACTTCTTGTCATGAACAAAACTTTCTCGAGGCAAATGCATCTTCTGGTATGGAGCCAGTTTGATATCAATTTATCACAATGTTTCTGGGGAAAATACAAGAAAATGGGAAAATATTTTATGGTTTTATTAGATTCAAATGATTAATTGATTCATGGGATCGCAATAAAGAATCTTTTAAAAAATAATTATAGATACTGAAGAGAAAGATTTGGACCTGACTCTAAAGTTCTGAATCGGCTGCTTGCCATTCAAGTAAGCGACCATGGTCTAATTAATAGTGTTCATTAGGGTCACCTTTAACCACAGAATATATATATTTGAAAATGAAAGAATCATCAAAACGCCACAGATTAGGTCAAAGTTTGCCGGTGAATTGTAAACTCCGACAGGAATTGAGCGTCGATCTCATCAAGGGTCTTGAAAGATGAGTTCCGAAAGGAAGAGATCATGAAAAAGGGGTACAATTTCGAGAATTTTACGTTGTATCCGTTTAAATTGAGGTAACGAATGGTACAAGTTTAGTAGTTAGTGAGTGGGTATCGATGTAAAAACTCATTCCAGCCGTAGATAATAGGTAGTTGATAGGTTTGATGATAGATGCATGATTTTATGTTAGGTGAGTAAAGTTGAATTTTTAGAGAGACGAACTTAAAGTTATAAAATCTAGGTGGGGCTAAAACATATTTTTAGGAACGACTGCCTCCACCCACCCCTGTCTAGATCCATCATTGTTTGAGACTTTATCTGTCCCGTATCCATCTGTCCGTCATATAAATTTTGGACCATTATTCGTCTATCCCACATCTGAATGTCATATAAATTTTGAACCATTATGAATTTAAATATAATTTTAAAGATTATTATGTAAATCTTAAGATTTTATAGGACATTACTTGTAATTTAACCAAATGTTAAGATATAAACATTTTTTTTATAGAACCCAACTAGTATTATTAAAAATAGAAAATATCCAGAATTACAATGAATGTTTACAAGCATAGTCGTAAACGTAAACTAAATTATACTTATGATATGATCATATCAATTGACACAAAACTAGCCACTTAAATCACACAATGACCAAATAAGAAAAATGTTAAAAACCTAATCAAAATGCTCAAACAAAATAAAGATACGAACAGACTGACATAATCGGAAAAATGAATCATAAAAGGGGATGAAGATACTGAAATATCACCGACAAATCACAAATCATAGTTAAATAAAATAAAAAAACTATCAACTAACACAAAATTCATACCACAAATACAATAATAAACATTTCACAAAATATAATTATTCTTATTAAAAACTAAATTTCAACTATGTCCTTTAAAATTGATAACAAGCGTTGTTAAAGACGAACCTCTACTCAGATTTACATCCCATCAATCACATAAGGAGTTCCTTTACTGTCCGTCTCGATGATAATCACGTACTAAATTTAGAGGTGAACTCAGGATAAAAATTCAGAGGTTGTATAAAAAAATTTATAATATTAATTTTTCCTATAATAAAGAATAACAATTATACACAATATTAAAGGTGACACTTGTATTAATTAAAAAATTAACATTAAATAGATAATTTTGAGGGATTGTCTGAGATATTCAGGACAACTATAAGGTCCGCCCTAGTACTATTCCTATTATGATTTGATATGGTGGTGTTTACTATGGGTATCCAAAATTTAATTTTTTATGTTGACTTTATTTATTTTATAAATCGTATCGATTCTATTTTTTTATACAAAAAATTTATGTTAATAATACAAGTATATTCACTTGAAAATAAAAATCCTTCCTTTATTTTTGTGTACTGTTACATACGTGGAATATAATCGTAATGGATGTGAAAACAGTCTAATCAAGATTTGTTCCTTCGACCTTCCATTAATAGCTTCCTTAATGGCGTTGCTGTATTAGACCCATCGCACCGATTAAAGAGGGCGGTCAGTTACTGGCGGAGAAAATGGCTTTGGTGACCGCATAATGAAAAATATCATTAGTAAATCAGCAAAAGAATCAGGAGAAACAAAATAATGACCCCACTAAGCAATCCCACGTGAAGTCCTTAAGCCCTACTCTCTCGGTCCTATAGGCTATAGCCCTGCTATCTCCAACGCTAAGATATTCTCAGTACATCTCTTTTCCGAGAGAATCACGCGCCTGTGATTCATCTTATCAGTTTTGATCATCACGCTACCGGCAAACCATATGTTCCAAAACCAACACTGCTCACCTTTAAATTGTGCAGACCAAAACTCGTATCGGGTTGGTCTAACACTTAAATATCCATGTCCACACGTCATTGATGCTTATGTCATATATAAATTTGAGACCATATTTAAGATATATTAAATATGAGTTCCCTTCTATCGTCAATGAACAACAAGGGAATGTGGTTAAGGATAAGCCTATTGTTGTACTAGATTTTATGTTACATTGTAACGATGAGGGTCGTTCCAGTTTAACTAGATTCGTAATAATATGAATATTAATTAAAAAAAATATCGAATAATCAAATTAATGATCAAAATCGAAGAAACACTAGGAAGACATGTTCTATTATATTGGCATCACACAATCAATAATCGTAATATTTACATTACATTATTATATTGTAATAATGCTATTATATGTTTATTAACGATAAATATCCTAAACTCAAATCCCTCACTTACCCGTATTATGAACTCTATATCATAGTATCATAAGTAAATTAATTTATTTATAATTTCATAATATAAAAGGTATTAGCTTTTATGTTACTTTTTTATTATTTGAGATTATTATATATTATTTTTATATTACGTGATAGTAATCATATTATTTAAAAAATAGTTAATATTTTTAATAATCCTAAAATAGATATACTAATATAAAAAAATATTAAGATCGTTCTATTGATGCTTAAAAAATTGTATTTTCGAGTTAATCTTTAAGATTTTTTTTGAAACTTTTTAATTAAATTCTGAAGTCGTTGTTTTCACTTTTTCACATCCCATGATTCTATATTTTTGTGCTACAGTTATTATAGAATAAGTACTTCCAAAACTAGGGTTAGTTTATCAATATTGGCCTTGGTTGAAACGAAGTTTCTCCTATTAAACTAACCTATCCCAAATTGTCTATTTAAACTCGAGCTCCTCATCTCTTGTGCTCTCCAAGTAACTCTCAAGTTCATTCTTCCTGTTCTATTATATATCTTCTTCTTCGTTGAAGATGTCCCTCGATCATGGTTTACTGTTGCTTCAGACTCCTCTGTTGAGCTTCGAAGCATTTCTCTGGGCCCTTCTATTGGTTGGAACCATTGCCATGTGGCTTTCACCTGGGGGTATTGCATGGACACGTTTCAGGTCCAAGGCGAGTTTCTCCATTCCTGGCCCGGTCGGGTCACCTCTACTGGGGCTACTCACTGTGTTCAATGGCTCCACTCCTCATCGTGTCCTTGCCAAGCTTGCTAAAACCCTCAACGCCGTGAAGCTGATGGCTTTTTCCGTCGGGTTCACTCGGTTCATCATCTCCAGTGACCCTGAAACCGCCAGGGATATTCTCAACAACTCGGCTTTCGCCGATAGGCCGGTGAAGGAGTCGGCCTATGAGCTCTTGTTTCACAGGGCAATGGGTTTCGCTCCTTTCGGTGAGTATTGGAGGAATTTGAGGCGTATCTCGGCCACCCATTTGTTTAGCCCCAAGAGAATCGCTGCCTTTGAAGCATATAGGCGTGAGATTGGCATGAGGATGATTGATGAAATCAACAGTTCAATGGAAGACAAGGGTGAGGTCCAGATTAAAATGGTTCTTCACTTTGGATCGTTGAACAATGTGATGGCGACCGTATTCGGTAAGAAGCACGACTTTGTAGAGGCCGGTGACGGGTTCGAACTCGAGGAGCTTGTGAGTGAAGGGTATGAGTTACTGGGTTTATTTAACTGGAGTGATCATTTTCCTCTTTTAAGCTGGCTGGATTTGCAAGGTGTAAGGAAAAGGTGTAGGAATTTGGTTTCTCAAGTAAATGTTTTTGTTGGGAAGATCATTGAAGAACATAGGCTAAAAAGGGTCATTGGAGGGTTGAAAGATTGTTGTGAAGTTGGGGATTTCGTTCAAGTTTTGCTGGATTTGGAGAAACATGAGAAACTTAGTGACTCCGATATGATTGCTGTTTTATGGGTATAATTATTGATTCTGCACTTTAACCTTTATTTTATTTCAAGCTTTACGATGCTTATTGTTTAACACGTTTCCTTGCATGTCCTTTTCCAGGAGATGATTTTCAGGGGTACCGACACAGTGGCAATCTTGCTCGAATGGATTTTGGCTAGAATGGTTTTACACCCAGAGATACAAGCAAAGGCTCAAACCGAGATCGACTCAGTCGTCGGAAACTCGAGGCTGGTTTCTGACTCGGACATTCTCCATCTTCCATATCTTCAAGCCATAGTGAAAGAGACTCTCAGGTTGCATCCGCCGGGGCCTCTTCTTTCATGGGCTCGCCTAGCCATCCATGATGTTCACGTCGGTGACCATTTCGTTCCGGCAGGCACAACAGCGATGGTGAACATGTGGGCAATCACTCATGACGAGAGAGTGTGGGATGAGCCTGAAAGGTTCAAGCCAGAGCGGTTCATGGAACAAGATGTCAGCATTTTGGGGTCTGATCTTAGGTTGGCTCCATTTGGTTCGGGTAGAAGGGTTTGCCCTGGCAAAGCACTGGGTTTGGCCACTGTTCATCTCTGGTTGGTTCTGTTGCTCAAGTATTTCAAATGGGTTCCGTTCAAGGAAGGGAACGTGGACTTGACTGAACATCTGAAACTCTCCATGGAGATGAAGCACCCACTGGTTTGCAGGGCAATACCTAGGACCTAGGTGTCCCTGAACCCTCTTTTCGTTGGCTGCCTTGATGTTTACATCTATGTTTTACCTTTCATGTTTAGGGTTTCCTTTCCTTTTCTGTTTAGCTAGTTTTTCCCGAGCTTGAAAGAAGTGTTTTTATGTTTAGTGAAATGGAATCTAGTTTGGTTGGGGTTGGCTTTTTATGTACCGTTTAAAACTAATGAACAATCTTCATGCTTTGTACAAAGATTCTAACTTTTCGTGGCTATGTTTTGCTTGTTTCTCGCTTTTGAATGTATTAATATATTGAAATATCATGTTAAATTATGAAAAAGATATAAATACAAATATGATTATATAAAAAAAATTAAAATGAATTTAATTTTTTTAAGTAAAACATAATTAGTATATAATTAATACATAATTTATAAAAACAATTGAATTTAAAAAAGTTCTGGGCAAAAGACTGGAGCTCATGCATTATAATAAGGGTAAAAGAACATCTTTGCATTTAAACGAAAATTTAAATTTTTGTCATAAGATTTAAAAACCTCACATTAATTATATATATGATTTTTTTTAAATATTTAAATATATTACTCATAAAGTAGTTGAAGACAATATTTATGCAAACGTGACACTATATGGTTCAATTTATGTTTGTACTATTATAAGATTTTTGTAATAAAATCCGTACAATCTTTTTATTCCTCTTCGAGAATATTTTGGCAAAAAAGGAAAAAAAAAAGGAAATCATGGCATCATATATGACATGCCCATTCATCTTTTTACTTCTTTTGTCAGTCATAATCTCGAAAGTATGGTTCCGTACCCATTTGAATAAGACACACGAAAATTTTTATAAAGAAACATCTTAATATAAGGTTAAAATAAAACGTTATCGATAATTTATTATTTTTACGTAAAATATCATTTTTTTTATATTTTTGGTTATTTTTTACCTTCGAATAATATTTTTGGTTATTTTTTTCGAAAATCTGATAAAAACACCCAATAATAATAAAATCGATCAATTTTAATGCTTAATAATATTTTCGGTCATTTTTTACCGGCTTTGTTATTTAAATAATAATAAAAAGATAACATCTTTTTTAACCGTATATTAAAGCTGCCGTACGTGATCATTCCCGAGACACACTAGCTCCCGAGATTCACAAAGTTTCCTTAATAAAAATTCTCCTAAATTTCCAAATTTAGCTAGCTTGATAATGCAAATCTTTCATTGCTATTGGAGATTTATAGGGTCCTATGTCCTAGTCTATGTAAAAAAAAAATAGATTCCTTGCAAGTGGTTATAATTATTCAATCACCTAAAGATTTGCTACTAATTTCAACCTTATTAGTAGGAAAAAATAGATTTTATCTACTAAAATTAGATGTACAATCCAGATCGATCCGAATTAATCAAGATTAAGCCTTAAAAATCGAGAGGGCAACAAAAATAGATTATAGCGGTTGTAGGTATAATAAATTTATATATACTACCATTATTAAAGGTCACTATATTTTTTTTTAATTAAAAGAGAGAAAAAAAATGACAGCCATGATCTCCACATCTATTCTTCTTTATCACAAAGGAGAGGAATTTCATGCTGGTCAATGATCGTTTTTCCATGACCGCGAATCTCCGTTCAACTTAGAAGAGATGAACCACTTATAATTGTTGTAACCCATTTATTTCCATCATCAAATCTATTACTACAATTTGTTAGTGCAACTAATAAATCTAACAAATTAAGATTCAAATCTTGATATTTATGCGATTTCATTTATTGGAGTAATGTCGCATTTTATTGAGAATAAGAAGCTATACCTTTCTGAACAATTCGAGATGAAGGGGGGGTCCATATTTAATTGTTCAAACTCTTCTTTCATGTGTTCTTTAAAAGGAATATAAATATATCTTTAACAGGGTTTTAAAAAAGCTTTATACCTTTGTAAAGGGAGATAGATGCAACTGAGATAAACCAACAACTCTCTTTTATATGGATTCCCATCTCTACTATATTCCCCCTCTCAGTGCCTCCAACAAACTAATATGATGAGGATATTTTAATGGATGTTTGATTGATCGATACATGCATATGAATATATGATCATATCATGTCTTAGAAAATGCCTCATCGGTTCGTCATGATATCATCATCATGATCCAACCTCAGAGATGGACCGAAGGAGGATAGGTGGGGGTAATAGCCCCTACAAAATTTAAAATATGATATATTTTAGATTTTTAATGTATTTTCATTAAAATTTATAAAAAAATGTTTAAAAATAATTAAGCTAAATGATTAAAGGTGGCGTTTATAAAGGAACTTTAGAGATTAATTATAATATACTTGGTATTCCATGATCACCAATGATCATTCAGAAATCATGGGTGATTCCATAATCTAGGGTGGAGAAAAAGTAGGCAGTGAATTAAAAGGCAAATTGAAAGGTGTTTAGCTTTAGACTTTGTTGGAGGTAGTGTTTGGTTGATTTGAAAAGTGAATGGTATAATTATTCGGCTTAATGGTACTTAAGGCCTTTAATTAAAATTAACGTGTCACTAAAAAATATATATTAATGTGTCCTTCGACCAATAATTTTTATCGTTGATCGTTACGATATCGATATGACGGTTCACGATGTTGATATAGTAATTTATAGTGTTAACGTGATGGCCTAAGACTAGGGGTGTTCAAATAATCGAACTAATTCAGTTCGGTCGGAAGTGAATTAGTTATGTTAATTCGGTTCGGTTATCGGATTAGTTCGGTCGGTTAACGGTTAAGAAAAATTTTAGAATTCAGTTAACGGTTAATTCGGTTCGAAATCGGTTATTTAACCGAAATTAAATTTTAAATATATTATATATAACATATAGGCTCAGTTCAAACCATTTAAAACTCAATTAATAATTTAAGATTCAATAACTTTTAAACCTAAATCAATATTAATTAATTAAAAAATTTATATAAAATTTTTATTTTATAATTATATATTATTTAAATTAATTATAAACTGTTTTTTTAATTAAAAAATATTAAATATATTATATATAATATATTGGCTTAGCCCAAACCATTTAAAACCCAATTAATAATTTAAGATCCAATAACTTTTAAACCTAAATCAATATTAATTAATTAAAAAATTTATCTGAAATTTTTATTTTATAATTATATATTTTTTAAATTAATTATAAACTTTTTTTGAATTAAAAAACATTTAATTTTTATATAAATTAGAAAATTTTAAAAAAATCAGTTAATTCGAAAATAACCGAAATTTATTCGGTTCAGTTAATATTTTCGTAAAAAAGTTCGGTTCGGGTTAAAGAAAAAAAAATTCAGTTAATTCGGTTATGATTAATTCGGTTCGATTCGATTCGATTTTAACCGAATGAACAACCCTACCTAAGACGGGTGATGACATGACAGATATATTGAATTAATTTTGTTGATCGGATTCGAGGGATCAATTGATTTTTTTTAAAGTTGAATGACTTTTTTTTATTTTTTTTATAAAAAATGAAAAGCATTTTAAATTTAAAATATAAAAATATTTTGAAAGGTAAAAATTACTCTACATACAATTGATCTTTGGCCGCTGATTCGTTTATACCAATGAACTTTAAATTTTATCAATTACAACACTGAACATTGATTTTCGCTTCAATTATGTCACTATGTCAATAGACCACTATTGACATGATGACACAACTAACTGTCATAACATGGTTGCCATACCAAAACAATGCCGTTTTACTTGAGGAGATCTGATAAAATATTGTGTATGAGGGATTTGAGTTTTATACTTTCGGAAACAAAGGCTCGAGCTCAACCGCTCAACCAACTCAAGATTTTTGTCATACTTCTACAAACATAATATTTATATAGTGGTGAATCCAATAATATTTTTTTGGGTAGACATATATTAACAACACAAATTTTTAAAGTAGTGGCCGCAAATAAAATTTTAGAGTGGACACCATCTGTAAAATAATCAATTAATCGAGAAAAATTCGAGTTTGAGTACTCACCCTCAACAAAAACCATTGTATACATATCATATAGTTTAGATTATTTATTAATATTTTAAAAATAAATTAATATTTAGAATATATATTATATTTCAAAATAATAAATAATATAAATATATTGTATTATAATATTATAAATAACATTAATATATTTTTATATATTATTTATAATAAAAATATTTTTTTCAGAAAACCATAAAATTTTCGAATTTCTCAAATTCTCTATAAAACCTAAAGCCCTAAACAACAAAATCCTAGTTTTACCAATTGCCGTCGCAGAATCAACACCACTGCCGGGGACGAATCTACGTGGGAGGTGGGAGGGGCAATTGTCCCCCGGCTTTGAAGGTCTAATTAGTTTTAGGTCACTTATATTTTTGAAATCATTACAATTAAGTCGTTTCTTCTCCCAAACTTTATTGGTTTAATTATATTTTAGGACCTTTTAAGTTTTAGAATGAAATTTTGACTTTTAATTCTTCTGGTTTAATTACTCTTTAAGACACTTTAATTTTAAAATTAGTTAAATTAAACCATAGCTCCTTTAATTTTATGGTTTATTCCATTTTAAAGACAAACAACTTGCTCCCATCATAATTCAATCTTAACTCCGTCCTTAACCACCGCCCTCCACTTCTAGCGTTGGACCCTTACTACCAATTATCCTGCTCTCTCGTTATCAGAATTCGACGAATGACGTATTAACAAGTGTCAAACACCAAATATGAAATATTATGGTCAAACTAAGAACGGAAACCGAAGGATAGACGAACACGAGTGACAAAGTTGTATGGTACCATAAATATACATTATTCATGCTAAGATGACCATTTCATCCTTTCAAAAATCTCAAGCAACTAAAACTTAATGAGTGTACAAGTACAAGTCTACGACGCTTTAATAATACCAGAAATCGAAGAATTCAAATTGAAAGTCAACCTTACATGTCTTTGTACTTAAATTTCTTTATTTATATTATTTTAAACACATGCGGGCTTTAAAATTCTCATTTATTATTACTTTTTTTTATATCGAACAGTTGTGTAATGCTTTTCTTTGGAAAGACTCGGATGGTTCAACTAGGATGCTCGTGTTAGATGGGAACGTATCTGCTTCCCCAAATGTGAAGCAGGCTTAGGATTAAAAGTATTCTTATATGGATTAGGACATGTATGATGAAATGCTTGTTGCTTCTCCTCACCTTATCCGGTTCTCTTTGGGTAGCCTGGGTTAAAGAGTATATTTTG